GAAACATGGGTCTTTCATTTCCTTTTCTCCCCCTCCATCCCTCCCCCTGCCCTGCACTATGTTGTTCATCTGGTTTTAATGCTGCATAAATATGCATTGTCTCATGCCTGTTTGCTTTGGATGCTGTGTGCTAAGTTGTAACAAAATGTTGCTTCTTTTGTTATGTGTATACAGCTGCTTGCTTTAAATTAGTAGATTCTGAAATACCTTTTCTTGCATGTCTAAAATAAAAGTATTGCATGTACTTCAAAAAAAAAAAAGAACAAATAAGCACATGAAAATATGTTCAACATTATTTCTCATTAGGGAAATTCAAACTCAAACCACAAGAAACTACCCTACATATCTACTGAAATAACTAAAATCAAAAGGCCTAACAATACCAAAGAGGAAGAGGGAGAGGGAGAGATGCACAGGTAGGGGTTTATATACAGAAGTACTATTTCTAGTCTTTTAAATCATCTGAGACGGCCAAATAATAACTCAGCACCAATGAGCACACAAGATCTTCTTTTTTTTTTTTTGGTACCAGGCATCGAACTCAAAGATCTTCATTTTTAATACCGTCTTTAATAAGAGGAACCAAAGTTCTTGAAAAAGTAGTTGAATTGGGGAAGGAAAAATCCTATTGTCTCACCAAGTAAGGAAGTACTCAAAAAAAAGAAAAAGGCATATCATCTTTGGCGCCATCAGTCAATCTGAAAGAGCTGCAATGGCCAAAGCTGGAATAATTTGAGACAGAAAATAAACAATAAAACATTATAACCCCAAAATTAGAAGTGTGAGTCCAAATTGTTGTAAATAAATAATTATGTAAACAAACAAATGAGAGAAAGTGATAACACTTCCATATAAAATCATTCTTAATAACAAATGGAAAAGAGTGATGGGAGTAGAAAATCCCTATTAGAACATGTTATAGCTTGTACCTAGATGTCCTCCCAAAGTCTCACGAACTCACAGGCCGGGTTTTGGGGAGTGACTGGATCATGGGTATGTGATACTAGATTAGTTCACTGATTGCTTTAACATAGTTCTGGGTGTGGCTGAATATATTTACTGAAGAGTGAAGACCTACCCTGGGTGGGGGTAGCACCAACCAATAGGCTTGCAGCATACCTGGAATAAAATGGGAAGGAAGAAGGAAGGCTTGCTGTCTCCTGCCTGCCATACCATGGACTATTTCTCCTCTGCCATGCCCTTCTGCCATGCTGCCCTGCCTTGGAATCAGCTGACTATGGAATGAAACTTTTACAAACTGTGAGGTAAAATAAACCTTTCCTCCTCTAATTTGTGGGTGTTGGATATTTTGTACCAGCAGAGAAAGTAACTAAGATAGAAAACTACGGTAATAATTGTTACAGCCAAGATCTATCCATGGGTTCTAGTGGGTTAAACCTTGATGAGAAACAGTATTTTTACATAGTTTCAAAATATGTTCTTAAAATATTCATTAATTACCAAGGGAAAGTAGTAACTTTATAATGAAGAAACTCAGTAGACACTGCTGGTTTAATGAAGTGATCGATGTTACTGTCACTAATAAAATGATATAGACATTATGTGACCCTTGATAAATGCACTAAGAAGGGCACATCATTTATGTAATATTCTTGCCAAAAATGCCTAACTTCAACCTAATACTTAAAAAAATAAAACAGATTCAAACTGAAGGGCACTCTATAGCTAACCAGTTTTCTTCAAAAGTGTCAAGGTCAGGGCCGAGAATTTAGCTCAGTGGTGCCAGCACCTGCCTGGCAAGTGCAAGGTCCTGAGTTCAATCCCTGGTACTGGAAAAAAAAAAAGAAACAGACAAAAGTATCAAAGTCATAAAAGACAAGAAAAGATAAAAGCACAGTCACAGTTTGGAGGGGAATAAAGTGACCTGAAAACTAAATTCTAAGTGGTACAGTGGACCCTCGAGTTACAATTGGCCTCACATATGAACAACTTGGGTTACAACAAGAATTTTAGTTTTAACCTATGACCAAAGTCTTGAGTTATGACCCAGTTTTTAGTTCTGCAAAGGTTGAGTGCTCGTGAGCCAGAAGTAGGTTCTAGTGGGCTACAGACTCTGCCAAGGAAAGAAAGGACACCAGAGAGCCAGATTCCTGATGTTCTTATGAAAGGGGATTCTCCTTCCAAACAATAACCAACTGCCCCTTTATCTTCCCTTCCTGCAAGCCAAAGATGTCAACTTGAATGGTGAGTACACTATGAAATTGCTGTTTCTGGTAAACCAGGCACATTTTATAACTTTTTGGTGAATACACCTATGACCACAAGAGGCTTGGGGGGATATCTAAACACAACCCTCACTATAAGCAAGCTCTGACAACCACATAATGTTCCTCAATCACAAAATAAACCTACTTTCTCCCATATCTTGCCCTTACCCCACAAAATATCCTCTGAAAACTTAAAATACAAACCCTTCAACTCAACTAAAAGTACTCTAAGAAAATCAGACCCCATATCAAAGTTTTCTTCTCATCTACCACTATTCTCCCCTTCAAATCTCCCCTTAAAGTGACTAACAGTACTCATCCAACAACCTTCCATTCTCCCCACCCTACCTCACATACCTCATTGCAGGACAGCCACAAACAATAAACTGTCACAATGTGCAGAAAGGATAGACAAAGGGGGGGAATTATAACTGCAAGAACTATCATATAGAAGTGTTGTGTGATTGAATGTTGATGCTGTTATAACCAGAAGTGATTCTTTTGGCAAAACATAGGGACAGTGTTAAAATTACTAAAAGTAAAAAACAGAAGGAGTAAATATTAGCACTGGGCATACAAAGCTGAAAATTATTCATGGGTAGGCAATATCCTACTAAAAATCTTCCTATAAGCTACAAACTCTCTTCACTTCTCTGGGCCCCAACCTGCAGTACCCCATCAAAAAAAGGGAGGAGAACAAAGAGGGATATATATATATATATATATATATATATATATATATATATATATATG